ACACACACACACACACACACACACACACACGCACACACACACACACACACCCACACACACACACACACACACACACACACACACACACACACACACACACACACACACACACACACACACACTAAAACCTCTCTATTCTCTCTATTAGGGGGATATCTGCGGTTTACAGTGCTTTAGGTTGCCATAGCAATATGGCAGTTATGAGGTAGCGCAGTTCAAAGTCCACCGGGGGAAAACCAGAAGCAAGCGGCAAGATGTTTTATGGACTCATGCATACACTCACAGCTACTCAACGCCTGTATGTACGCGTGACTACAAATCATAAAGCACTGTGAGCACAGGCACTTGAACGTCTCAATAAAATAAAATAATAGTAAATAAACACGAAATGTATTTACTCTACCAAAGTATTAATGTTTCTCTACTCTATGTCGCCTATTATTGCCGATAATTACCCGTAAATGCCGGTCAAATATTGTTTGTGCACAGTGCGGGCGTGCGGTGTACTTGTGTGTTGCAGATGAGAATTTGACCGGCATTTACGGGTAATTATCGGCAATAATAGGCGACATAGAATAGAGAAACATTAAGACTTTGGTAGTAAATGCATTTCGTGTTTATTTACTCTTTTTTTTATTGAGACGTACCAAGTGCCTGTGACTGTGAGGGTGGCGGCTGATGACGAAAGTGATAGAGAGTTGTTACAAATTCGTGTACAGAGCAAACACCAACAAAACTGTATAATAATGTTTACATTATAAAGAACGTTGAGCATCGTGCGGTTAAGCTTGAGGTAAATGCTAGGATTATAATTACGGTAAAATCTACTGGGGGGGGGGGTTACGATTAAGGATAAGTTGTGAGGATAATTTCAGAGTTAGGGTGAATGTTGGCGTTATGATGACCCTTACCGCAACCCCAACGTTAAACGCGTCTCAAGTAATGTAAGTGATGTAAGCGCGTATGTAAGTGATGTAAGTGCGTATGTAAGTGATGTAAGTGCGTATGTAAGCGCGTATGTAAGTGATGTAAGTGCGTATGTAAGCGCGTATGTAAGTGATGTAAGTGCGTATGTAAGTGATGTAGGTGCGTATGTAAGCGCGTATGTAAGTGCGTATGTAAGTGCGTATGTAAGTGATGTAAGTGCGTATGTAAGTGCGTACGTAAGTGCGTATGTAAGTGCGTATGTAAGTGCGTACCTAAGTGCGTATGTAAGTGCGTATGTAAGTGCGTATGTAAGTGATGTAAGTGCGTATGTAAGTGCGTACGTAAGTGCGTATGTAAGTGCGTATGTAAGTGCGTATGTAAGTGATGTAAGTGCGTATGTAAGCGCGTATGTAAGTGCGTACGTAAGTGCGTATGTAAGTGCGTATGTAAGTGCGTACCTAAGTGCGTATGTAAGTGCGTACGTAAGTGCGTACGTAAGTGCGTACCTAAGTGCGTATGTAAGTGCGTATGTAAGTGCGTATGTAAGTGCGTATGTAAGTGCGTACCTAAGTGCGTATGTAAGTGCGTATGTAAGTGCGTATGTAAGCGCGTATGTAAGTGCGTACGTAAGTGTGTGTGTAAGTGCGTATGTAATTGCGTATGTAAGTGATGTAAGTGCGTATGTAAGCGCGTATGTAAGCGCGTATGTAAGTGCGTACGCAAGTGCGTACGTAAGTGCGTATGTAAGTGCGTACGTAAGTGCGTACGTAAGTGCGTATGTAAGCGCGTATGTAAGTGCGTATGTAAGTGCGTATGTAAGTTCGTATGTAAATGCGTATGTAAGTGCGTATGTAAGTGCGTACGTAAGTGCGTACGTAAGTGCGTATGAAAGCGCGTATGTAAGTGCGTATGTAAGTGCGTATGTAAGTTCGTATGTAAGTGCGTATGTAAGTGCGTATGTAAGTGCGTACGTAAGTGCGTATGTAAGCGCGTATGTAAGTGCGTATGTAAGTGCGTATGTAAGTGCGTATGTAAGTTCGTATGTAAGTGCGTATGTAAGTGCGTATGTAAGTGAGCACACACGTCGGTCCTCTCCTCTCTCTCCTCACGCCACCATCCCCCCACTCTTATCTCACTCGCCACTCGCACCTCGAGCCTCGCGCAAACGCTTACCTGTGGGCTCTTGGACCCCGAACCACTTACCTGTCGCACGCAGCCACGTCTGCGATGTTCCCAGTGCCATCTACCCGACAACTGGCGAGTGAGAAGAAGAAGAGCAGCAAAGTGTAGCTTGCGATATTCGACGTGGCTCGCATCATGTTATACATATAAACAGACGCGTGCTCGAGCTCCTGCCTGCCTCTACACACGCTACGTTACGTAGCTCGCAGCACACGCAGCCGATCGTGAGTCCGTTCGCCTTAATGCTCGCCCCACAACTACGCGTCTGTTATTTACTCTCGCGTTCATGGTATTTCCCGCGAGCATTGGGAGGGTATCTGAGTACACGTATACGGGCCCGACGTCAGATAATCATGCTCGATATTTTTTAGCGGTGGCACAAGGTTAGATGCCCGCACGGTGAGATGTTATCGCCCCCCCCCGCTATCTCTCATCCCCGGTGAGTTAAACAGGTTCAACATACTTTTAGAAAACGCGTGTATCCCTCGTGCAAACATCTTCTATGTAAACGTGTGACGTGATAAACAGCCCGATCCTCTGAGCGGCGTCGTCTCTTCGCTGCGCGCTCGCACGCTCGAAGTAAGGCTCCGTTCCCCAGAGGGCATCGAGAAATAATTATCTGGAAAATCACACCGATGGGAAAAAAATCGGTGAGGACTGACAGCGTCAGGTGTTTAAAACTGGTTCTATATCCACGACGTCATAATGGCTACTAGAGCCCGGACGGTTTGCTTATGCTAGATGTAACACATTTTCGGAATGTCAATGTCTATACAGAGCAACACCACACGCTTCGGAACGCACACAACGTACGCGTAGATGATACAGATAGATTTCTCACCGCCTGACATTTGATTATAGCGAGTACAGCTTTCGCCGTGAATTCCGTATTTAATTTCTCTTCGGTCATTACGATAAGTAAAAGAGGCGGCACAGATAATACTGTTAAATTCCTCATTTCTAGTTTCGTTCTCACCACGTTACGCGGCAGTTAAGTAAGTTTTAACTTTTCGAATGCTGCAGCTGTTACTGCTGCTGTCGGCCAGACGTCTGCGATTGTACAACGCGGTCATTATACTATTGTACAACGCGCCTATTTGTCTGCAATTTAAAACGCCAAACGAACCACGCGAGCCGCTGCCGCCGCTGCCGCCGCCGCCGCCGCCGCCGCCGCCGCCGCCGTACATACGTATAATCACTCACATCGCCTGCAATACGTAATCAAACAAATTCAATCTAATTACACTTCTTAGAAGCGCGTCGCTTCGCACGCACGCAGCGCACGCGCGTGGGGTTGGTACGCACGCGCGCCACGTCACCTGTAGCAGCACCGAGTCATTTCATAATTTCCATCGCACGAGGCAAATCGTAGGGGTGTTTTGAGATTGAAAAGGAGAAAGAGATTTTCTCAAGCGCAGCCGTCCACCACTTATCTCCGCTAGGACGACGTGCTCTTGAATTTTTTTTTCACTAATTTTACCCGCACGCTCGAAATAACAAAAGAGGTCAGAGATACCGGTGACTAGAGACCTGAGTTCAAATTGCAGCGTCATAATGACGTCGCCGTTTGAAGCCACCGTGCCGCGGGTCAGCGTAAATTGCGGCTCGGCACGCGAGCAGCGGGGCACGCGCCGTGTAGCCGTCCTGCACGCGTTCACGTAACGTGAAAACTTCCCCCTCTTTCACTCTTGTCTTTTGCTCTCTCTCTCTCTCTCACTTCTCACACTCTCGCTCTCTTTCGCTCTCACACTCTCACGCTCTCGCTCTTGCTCTCTCACACACACTCTCTCTCACTCTCTCTCTCTCTCTTTCTCTTTCTTTCTCTCTCTCTCTCTCTCTCTCTCTCTTTCTCTCTCTCGCTCTCTCTCTCGTTTTTCGATGTGTTTTATTCTCTGTGACCGCATCGCTTACCTTCTTTCAGTGTTCTCCGTCTCTTTCTTTTGCTCCCCCCTTTTCTCTTTCTCTTGCTCTCTTCCCCTTTCTCTTGCTCTGTTCCCTTTTCTCCCCCGTTTCTTTCTCTTGTTCTCTCTCTCCCCTCCCCCATCTCCCCGTTTTTTCTCTTGCTCTATCTCCCCCATCTCCCCGTTTCTTTCTTTTGCTCTCTCCCCCTATCTCCCAGTTTCTTTCTCTCCGTACAACGCACGCCGGCGATATTAAATCGCGATTCGATTGAAGAATTAATTGAATAAAAGACGGCCAGGTGAAATTAATAGCTTTTTAGACGGAGGGATCGATTTCTTGAACTATAAATAAACACTGATGCGATCTCTAGCGTGACTGCGAGGCACAGCGTTTGATAAGAGCCGGAATTACGTGACAGGTTTTGTTAAGCGAATGTTTGAAATCATCGACTCAACGTTGATATTTCGCCAGCGGTAGACTGTTCGCTGATTCGCGCGCCATCTAGTGACAGAATTAATTTAGATTATTCGTTAAAACTGTTCGGTTAGGTTTTTAGAATAAAGGCTGAACGTTTGGTAATATTGGACGTTTTTGGAAACCGATAGAATTTCGACGAGGTTGAAAATATCGCACTTGCGGTAAATAATATCACCAATTCTAGAAACCACGAGAACCCTCTAGATTCCCTTACTCAAGCAAGTGCGATATGATTAGAAATATTGGATATGACATAGAGGACTGTATAGAGAAGGGTTATTTTTGCCTTTGTGTAAGCTTTTTTTTATACAATAGTCTGTGGATTGTGTGGGAACAAATCCATATATTTAATCGGACTGTCTGCATACGCATAACAATCAAAAACATCATAACCATCGAAACCAGCATTGCAAGATGGTGAGCATTTAGCGCATTGTAATATCCCCCACGCAATCCCACGCAATGTCTATCAAAGTAGTAATTTTCCTATTAACATGTTCACGTCGCGTATCGGGTGAGTCAACGCAACGACGAGGCCAGACACTCTTAACATTAATAATACTCGTCTGTTATCATCACAAACGTCGCCGTTGAACTGATCACAGGAGGGCGCCACGGGACGCATGCGCAGTGCCGACCCCTCGAGGCGTCAGTCTCGTAGAAAACGTTAGATCTTTACCATAAGACGCGCGAACCGAACCTTTACTATATTACACGCCATACTTTCCCTTCTGCTAACCTTCGTCCCATTCCTCTCTCTCTCTCTCTCTCTCTCTCTCTCTCTCTCTCTCTCTCTCTCTCTCTCTCTCTCTCTCTCTCTTTCTCTCTCTCTCTCTCTCGTCTCTTTCTCTCTTCTCTCATCTCCTCTCTCTCTCTCTTCCTCCCTCCCTGCTTTCACTTCTCTCTGCTCTCTATTCGTTTCTCTCTCTCGCCTCCCTCTCTCTCTCTCGCCTCCCTCTTCTCATCTCGCCTCCCCTCTCCACTCACTCTCTCTCTCTCTCTTTGTCACTCACTTCTCTCTCCCTCTCTCTCTCTATCTTATCTCTCCTTCTCTCTCCCTCTCTCTCTCTCCCTCTCTCTCTCCCTCTCTCTCCCTCTCTCTCTCGCCTCCCCATTCTCACTCACTCTCTCTCCCTCCTCTGCTCACTCACTCTCTCTCCCTCCCTCTCCTCCCAGCCTGCCGCCATTCTCTGTCGCGACTTTGGGTCTCCCCTGGCGCTCCGCTCGTCGCCCCCTTCCGATTCCGGAGGCTCTTCTCATGGGTCTCTCTCCCTCTCTCTCTTTCTTCTCCCTTTCTCTAACAACTCTTACATTCAATCTTCTCTCTACGGGCGGTTACGCACGCAAATGTGCCCACGTCCCAGCTCTTCTCGCGTCGTTCTATGCGCTGTCTCCTCTAGCCCGCTTGTCGATCCCGTCGTGTTCTCCGCATGACTCACCTCTCCCTCTCCCCTCTATCCTGCGTGTATCTCTCTACATCACCATGAGTTTCTAACATCTCTAGCCTCCATCGTACTTCAAGCTCCCCTGGAGATCTCCTCTGACCTCCTCCTCATCCTTCCTCTAGGTTCTGCTCTGATCTGCTCGTCTTCGGAGAGCTAATAGGTTCGCCCGATCCCTCACTCTCTTCGTCTTCTCTCTCCTCCACTCCTTCAACTCTCTCTCACTACAATGCTTCGTACCATGCAGGACCAGCTCACTGGACGGGTCTCTCACTCCTCTCTCTCCCTCCTTTCCTCTTCTTCCATTCCTTCCTCTTCTCCTCTACTGGCACATAGCTCCCTCTCTTTCTTCGCAAGAGCCTCTGTACGACAATGAATGGTACAGTACTCGCTGCTACCGCAGCCATAATGAATGCCTGTCCCTCTCTCATCATCACTCAATCTCCTTGCTCCTCTCGCTACCTCGATCTCGTCTCATACACTGCAGCTCTCTCGCATCTCGTGCCTGCTCTCTCTCCTTTGTCCTACACTTCCCTCTCTCAGATCTTGCACTTCTCACTCATTCTTCCCTCTGTCTCTCTACTCATCAACTCACTCTCGTCTCATCATCAGAATCTCTCCCTCTCTCCCTCTCTCTCTCTCTCTCCCCCTTTCTCCTTTCCCATCTCGCTCCATTAAACCATTAGTGAAACACGGCAAAGCCGGGGGAGGGAGGGAAAGTTTTGCTGCGTATGAAGGAGAGCCCGGCCGTGTAGGAGGGAGGGACGGCCGCAGGCGAGGCGGCAGGAGAGACTGCTATTGTGAACTAAACTATATGTCGACACTATATATGTTAATTATAAGACATTGCTAAAGAGCATCGAATATATTTCACATTAAACAACACGTCGTTTACACCGGTAGGGCTGAGTACTCAGACTGACAGGTAGACAGAAATTTTGAAAAAAGGAAGAAAGACGGACATATAGACAGATAGACAAACACACAGACAGCTAGATGATTTAATAGAAATATAGATAGATAGCTAGATAGATAGATAGATAGATAGATAGATACGATAGATAGAAGATAGAATAGATAGATAGATTAGATCAGATAAATAAGATAGATAGATAGAATAAATTAGTATGGATAGATAAATAGATTAGATAAGTGAGATAGATAGCATAGCAGTAGATAGATAGATAGATAGCATTAGATAGATAGATACGATTAGATAGAAGCATAGATAGATAAATAGCATAGCATAGTAGACTAGATAGATCAATGATTAGATAGATAGGTAGATAGATAGATAGGATAGATAGATAGATAGATAGATAGATAGATAGATAGATAGATAGATAGATAGTTTTTTTTTTTTTTTTTTTTTTTTTTTTTTTTTTGATAGCGATAGCATAGGATAGATAGATTAGGATGCGCCGCACGCACGCACGCACGCACGAACGCCACGGCACGCACGCAACGCCACGCACGCCACGCACGCACGCACACACACACATACAGAGCTTAACACATCGAATATTACGAGCACCACACACACACACACACACACACACACACACACACACACACACACACACACCACACACACACACCTACACAGCCCCGATTTACCAGCCCATCACAACAACAACACTAGGTGTGGCCTAGCCGTCTCTCGGGCAGCTCTCTCGGAGCTAACACGTATAATTAAACCTTCACCGCCTCGTTCGTGTTACTAATCCTCTTTGAGAAGGAGCGACCAAGTCAGCGCCTCTCCCCGCTCCGCTGATTGTCGTACACCGCTCCCACGACAAGGAAACTCCTCCTTTTCCTCGCATAGCTCGGTCGGCCAAATGATCGACCTCGTCGTCGGCTGGCCCCCTCGTCGACGAAAACTTACGTCGACAGCCTACAATTTCATCTGCCCCTTAGCATTTACCCTAGTTAACGCAGTCGCCGCTGCCGCCGCCCTGTGCGCCCGCCGCCGTCGCCGCGCGCATCGCCCGCTTAACGGCGGAGGCAGGAGCGCGGCAGAAAGTCTCACAAATATTTTTCGCCGCGGTTTAATTCCCCTGTGAAAGTGGCCGTAATGTTCGGCTAGCGAGGCTGTGCGAGGCCAGCGCCTGTGTCGCCGCCTGCCCTCCGCCGCTAGCATGTGTCAAGCTATATACCTGTATACTTGACGCGAGGTTGGGGGACGATGCCAGGAGGAAGAGGCCGGGAGGCGGGTTCATTCGGCTGTGTCGCGGATGGATATTATCGGTGCTGTGCGCGCATGCGGTGGTCTATGAGCGTGCGGATAGATTGTTATTCTTTTCCAGGATTCATCGCTCTGTGTGTCGGTCTCCCTCTCTTTCTCTCTCTGTTTCTCTCTCTCTCTCTTGCCTCTCTCTTTCGACCTCTCTTTCTTTCTTTCGTTTTCTCACTCTCACTCTCACGCTCCTCACTTCACACTCTCACTTCTCATACTCTCATCGCTCGCCTCGCGCTCTTTTCTCTTCCTCTCTCTTTCCTCCTCTCCCCTCTCTCTCTCTTTCCTCTCTCCCTCTCTCTCTCTCGTCTCTACTTCTCACTCTCACTCTCACTCTCACTCTCACTCTCACTCGTCACTCTCACTCTCACTCTCACTCTCACCACTCACTCTCAACTCTCACCTCACTCTCACTCTCACTACTCACTCACTACTCTCACTACTCTCACTCTCTCACTCACTCTCACTCTCTCACTCTCGCGCTCGCTCTCTCCGCGTCTCTCTCTCTCTCTCTCTCTCTTCTTCTCTGCTCTCTCTCTCTTCTCACTCACTTCACACTCTCGCCGCTTGCTCTCTCTCCTCTCGTCCCTCTCTCTCTCTCTCTCTCTCATCTCTCACCACACACACTCTCAACTCTCACTCCACACTTCTCTACGCTCGCTCTCTCTCCCCCCTATCTCTCTCGTCTCTCTCTCTCTCTCGCCCTCCCCTGCTTAGTTTGCTCTATCTTGTCTCGTTTGTCGTTTTACTCAATATATCTTTCGTTCTCTCTTATTACTTTCTGCGCGCTACATTCGTTTGTTATTCTGAATGTTGCTAGCCTTCACATTGTTTATTGCATATGCATGACTATTTGTTCAAATGTTTATTCATCGAGCTAACCGCGTAATACGATAAGGAGAGTTTTCCACGTAAATAATTCCGTCGAGCAGTGAAGTGTGTAACTAAACGGAAACCACACGTAGTACTCCTTCGTACACATCCTTAATGACGTGACAATATAGCCTCTTGTAATTTTTCTGTGACTAAACATAGAATTGTGCGATATTTATTTGTATCTCTATCGCCATGCCATATCGACCCGCTCTGGCAGAACATTGTAGTCGTGATTTTTAATTATTAGATTATGATTCTCACATTGTATCATATATTTCGCTTGATCGGACGCCTGCTCGTTTTTGACTGGCTCATTCTACGCGAGGTGGCGCCTGTAGATGTTATTTACATCAGAGCCTCGTGTAGGATACTCAACTCTATACGATGCCACTACTATATTATATATGATACTC